AGGGTTGGGTGGTGTAAGGGAAGGGAGCGAGAAAATAAAAAGAAAAGTGCGAAGTTCAAATTTCTCCTTAATTTGGTCAGAAAAAAATAAAAATCGAGGAAGTATGACAATATGCAATGCTCACGTCACTTGGTCACTTAATTTTGACATTACCCCTAGAAACTATATTTTTCTTAACTAAAACTCATATCATTTTGTTTTCTTGACTAAAGCCATTGATTATGCTCAAACTAAGCAGATTTCTTAATTAAGTTTGACTTTTCAAATTGTGTACTTTTTAGATGCCTAAACTACCCCTAATAAAACTTAGATGGGGTTTTGGATCTGTCACTTGTTATATCCATGTAATTAATTATTTATTTCACAAAATATTTCATGCAATTCATTGTATTCAATGTCTTAACTTTCAAATTGTTGTAGGGTGCCGATTGAAAAATATTAATAGTAATTTCATGATTTTGTGCATTAAATAAAAAACAAGTTAATTTACCTACCAGCAGTGGCGAAGCCAGGATTTACGGAGGGGAGAGGCGAAATTCCAAAGAGTGCAAGGTTCAATTGAAGTGGTTGCTTTCACATTGGAGAGTGCAAAATTTTGAATCAATATTCATAACAGCAAACCATCTCTTCACCAAAGCGGTTGTAAGCGGTAATATTAAAGCCATGTAAGAAGCTTAAATTAGTTAGGATTAGATTCTAAAAAAAACGTTAAGCACTAGTCAGGCAGCGGACTGGAGCCTGCAACTAGGCGCCTAAGCGAGATTTAGGTAGGAGCCTAGATGGATTTAAATGAATTTCTTTTATTGTAAAATAAGCATTAAACAATATTTACATTATTTTTTAAAAATTAATACAATATTTATAGATAATGTGAGAGTTTAAAATACATATGTTGAGGTGTTCAAAAGAGGGAAAATACATACAAGAATGATAATAAAAAATAAAATAAAAAAGAGAAAGAAATTGATTAACAAACCAAAACAAAGGTGCAGTCAGAATAGAAAAAAAGAGGAAGGGAAAATGGGAAAACAAAGTGGGGCAGAAGGGACCGAAGGAGAAGGGTGTGTCAGTACAATCAGTATTAACTTTTAAGAGAGAAAAATGTAAACAAATGTGTCAGGACAATCAGTTTTAACTTTTAAGAGAGAAAAATATAAAAAAAGGGTCAGCATTGCCAAACGACACCGTTTGGTATAGGGAATATCAAACACACCTTCATCTTCTTCGCAAGTTCCGTCGGTCTGCAACTACATTTTTTTTTTCAGATTTCCTTCTCCAAAATCTAATAAAAAAGAGGAAAAAAACAAATCCATCTTTGCTGCGCAGCTGCAGAAACCAAATCACCGGAGCGGAAATTCTCATTTTCGACTAGAGCAGAGGGGCTGAACTAGCGCTTCTAGGCATGTTTTCCGGCGAAGGGAGGGGCGGCCGCTACTCCTCGTCCTCATGTAGCTTCGCCATTGCCTACCAACATAGCAATAAACCTAAAACAGCTTTAGATATTGCGCGCGCGCACACACACACACACACACACTCCAATCCTAATGCACAAAACAAAGCTAACTATATGTTATGCGCAATTTTTACCTACGAAAAAGTCTAATTTACATATTTCATCAAACCGAAATTTAAAGGGTCTAATTTACCTACAAAGTGATCTAATTTACCTACATGATTTATGTGCATTATATTACAAGTTTATTTAATTACCTACAAGCACAAACCCACAGCATTCAATAATTATTTAATATCACTATTTTTTTAATAGTTAAATTAATATAAACGTAGGTAAATTAGTATTTATTTTATATCAGTAGGTAAATTAATTTATATGTATGTATTTACATAATTCAAAAAATATTTTTTTGATTAAAAAAATAATTGATTACATAAAGGAATTTGTTTTTCATACGAAATATGCCTATTATTTTTTTTGGATATAGGTAAATTAATTTATATATGTGACTAATATTTTATGATACACAAAAGGTAAAAGTTTCATTTGGGTTTTAATTAGGGTGAGTAATAACATTTACTGACATACTTAGAATGTCACATCCCGGCCCAGGACCCCACCACATCTCGGGCTCAACTCCACCTAGCACAATATTGTCCGCTTTGGGCCCTGACCACGCCCTCACGGTTTTGTTTTTGGGAACTCAGACGAGAACTTTCCAGTGGGTCACCCATCATGGGATTGCTCTCGCACGAACTCGCTTAACTTCGGAGTTCCTACGGAATCCGAACCCAGTGAGTTCCCAAAAGGCATCGTGTTAGGAAGAGATGAGAATATACATATAAGGCTTACATGATCCACTTCCCCCTGGGCGATGTGGGATGTTACATAGGATTCCTTCATTCAGATAGTTACCGTTTTGCACGAGCTGAGACATCATATATAGATCCAGATAAGGCAAAGAACACATTCCTGCTGCTATAACTAAGACTAGTAATTACCTCAAAGATTTTGTGGCTAAGTTGTAAATATGTTATAATAGTTGGTTATATATTTGTCTACATGGCAGTCTATTTGAAATTTGAGTTTTATTTGAATGTTTAATATTAGGTGGGTTTTTGTTTAGATAATATAAATTTCAAGGGCATTTTTCTAAAGAAACCTTAATATTATGATCTAGTGATATACTTCTTTATTTGTAAATGAAAGGTTTTAAATTCAAATTTCATAGATCGCAAGTTTGATACCAACTGTTTCTCACACCCTTAATGTAAATATATCAATGTATATAAAAGGAAAGCTCTTTTAATTTTGTTATTTGGACTACACTTCTTATTTAAAAGTAACAATTTAAAAACATAAATAATGTCAATATTGAGCGTAATGCTAGGAACTTTCTTATTTGGATCTTTTCGTTCCACCTCTTCGGCTCTACTTCTTATACTGTATACAATGATCCGAACTGTCTATTTTCTTAAACCACCGTTTGGATAGTTAATTTTCTATGAATATATGTAACTGCTCAAGGCTTGACATACTTATTTATTTATTTTTTTTTTGTGGCAAGACAAAAACATATTTTGAGACTTGAAGATATCAAAGAATTCGATTGTACTAATCAAGTAGCTCCCTAGGTTAATTTTGAAGTGTTAGAAAATGGTATTAATTGGAGCTTGTCTATTCCCCGAAAAGGACTTATATGCATGCAACGAATTTACTGTTACTGTGACATCTTAGTTCAATAACGGAATATTATATGTAAGTCTCTATCGCATAACATTACATTATTAAATCATGATGTTACATGATGGTGAACCTATGCTTACTCTCATCTTTCTCAGCCGATCGCTTTGCCAGCAAGCTATCAAGCTACTAGCTAGGAATATTCCACAATTCTTCCTTGTAAACCAGAATAGATTCATGAATAACTCAAATAACCACGATGAACTCGTTGACAACAATTAAAACACACGATTTTAAAACAGGCAAACAACAAAATATATGAAAAAAAAATGATGTCAAACCATAAGACGTATGTTGTGGTCATTGATTTGGTGCGCCTTTGCAGTATAATGACGTATTACACAATAAACGCGGGATGAAATATTAAGCCTTGAGAGCTAATTAACTTGTATGATTGCATTTGCATTAAGTCATTAACACAAGTTTAATTTTTTGATTAATAATAATAATAAGCTGTCCATGTACGCAGACGTTCTTAGAGCTAAAGTTATAGTTCGAAAGGACACGTCGCAACATAACGTTTAGACGACCTCTATTGCTTCGTTGTGTTATAACATTTCATTAATGGCCTATTTCCTTTGCTTCCCCTCACAGCATGCCTAAATTTCTTCATGTCGGCTCACTTGTGGTCGCACATTGGATTCGCGCCACCGGGGCACCGTTAAGGTCAAAGGGGATGAAGGGTAATGAATTGTCATTGCTGCCCTTTGACTTTTATGGGTGTGTGGCATTCACAATGTGATCACGAGATGTACGTGAAAAAGAAATGCTAGAGCATAGATTGATCATATCACAACTGTGGGAGCAAGTTGAATTGACGAAATTCACACACAATGAAAAGCAGCAAACTGAGTAAGACTAACACCGGTGTTATTTTAGTCAAAGAGTTTCTGATGGCTAACTCAAAAAGAGTGTAAGAAGTAATTATAAGAGGGTTGTACGAATTCTTGATTACTGGAATAAAATGATTGACCTTGGCTATTTATAGAGGACTAAAGAGTTAACTCTAGCGTTTAGTTTTGTTGAACCTGTTACAGAGTGTTACATAGTCTGCATATCGATGAATGAATATTCTTATGAGATTCCTAGAATATGCTTCGGAGAATCTTGCGATGTTAAGAGATTGATAGGCAAGTCCATTATGTATCAGGGTAAGAGCAGGTCGCATGACGATCGACTTACACCGTTTGCAATGAATTGGGCTCAGGACCAATCCGTCAGGGGTTGATTAATTGTCTAGATATGTCGTCAAGGGCTGAGTAGTCATATATGATAAGTTGTACGTATGTGCGGCGTGTTTGCATTATCAAAATATTGTACAGTTCTATAATAACCTTGAACCGCACTAACTTGAACGAAAAACTTTTGTTTGTGACCGTAACAGAACTGCATATAAGCAACAAGACTTTAGGGTATGGTTATGCGGCATATATATATAGATTCACTGGTTACAGTTCAATTCTGAATAACACACCGATCATCTGTCACATTAATATTAAGTACGATCAAATACAAAAATACGTAAGTACATTGCCTAATGCATGCATTTAATTTTGCATGCAACGTGGTCCTTCAAAATGAAGAGTGCGCTTGGAATGTGGATGGTTTGAGTGCCCAAATCATTGAAGTTTTTAAGAAGTAATACTAATATACTATGCCCTAGAGCCTAGAATTCGACCACACTCTTTGGATCACATAACCACAAGCTTTTTCCACCTTTCCCGCGTCAATCCCTCCCTGGCTAGCTACTATAAACCCTAAGTCTTCCAACCCACCATCAAATCAAACAAAACTCAGAAACTACAATTCCCACCCCCCCCCCAACAAAACCCCAAATCTCTCTCTCACCCACACAACCACAAACACACAAACCAAAAACACACAAACACAAAGAAAGAGACAAAGCCATGGGGGTCATCAAGATAATATTGGTCATAGCAACAACCATGGCTTTGTCTATCACTCTCATGACCGTGAAAAGGGTCGGTTATGGAGAAGCAGAACAAGAAGGAAAAACCCCTTTCACCGACTCGTGGAAAGAGCAACCGGAGGTCGATGAAAACACCTTGCTACTACCTTCCAAGAGGGTGAGTCGTTTCCTAGCTGAAAATGATCTGGTTGACAGAAACCCTAGAGCAGCTGACCATTGCCACAAAGACAATGAGGTATGTGCCTACACGCCGCCAGGATATAAGAACTCGACGTGTTGCAACAACAAGTGCCTGGACTTGTCCGAGGACAAGAACAACTGTGGTGCATGCAGGAAGAAGTGCAAGTACACTGAATCGTGCTGTAGAGGAGAGTGTGTGAACACGAATTATGACAAGAGGCATTGTGGCCAGTGCAACAGTCCCTGCAAGTTTGGGCAGTACTGTGTATATGGTCTTTGCAATTATGCGTGATTAAGGTGATCCATTAGTACTCCTGAGGTTCGTAATTTGATTTGATTATGCAATAAAAATCACAATAAAAAAAATAAGAATTGGTGGTTCTCAATTAATTATATACATTTATATATACATAGTTTTTTTTTTTTTTTCAATTATACCGTCCTCGAATACTTTCTCTGAATGTAATGATCGATGTCATAACTTTATCTAAGAACTTATTTTACGAGCTCAGACTTTAAATCAATAGTTTTTATATTATATAGTTACACATTTTTTGTTTTTTAGAGATGTATTGCTAATTACAGTCAACATATGGAGACAACTGTAAAGTTTGCTTCTTGAATATAATATGGATTGTTATAATATGGAATCCCTTTGGGGTACGTTTGTTGCACCGGACTGTCTCGGACTGGATTAGCTTCAGGGATTAAGCTGAACTGGCTTAGACTAGACTAAGCTGGACTAGCTTAGTGAAGCGTTTGGTGCAGTGTCGGACTAGAAAGTAGGATAATGAAAGCAGTACTGTCACCAGTTTCCCTTCGTGATTATACATCGTATATTATAATTTATAAGTCATAAACCTTTGCTGTTGAACAACTTTAAAGTAATTTTCATACAGGTATCTCCAAGATAAATAAAAAACAGAGGAATTAGAATTCTCTGCTTTGAATGATTAACTCATGGAACCGTGCCATGCGAGGGAGTTTAAACCCGACGTTATGTCATTAACAACTTTCGTGTGATTATTAACCCATGAAAAAGGGAAGGCAGAATTCAAGCAAAGGGGTCATTCAACAGGTTCGACTATTAAACTTTTACGGTAAAGAAATTTGAAAAGAAAACTGACAGCAGCCAAACACGGGCATATGATGCATATGCTTAGGAGTCAAGACTATGTTTCCGCCCCAGTCTCAGTAAATGAAGCATCAGTTGCAGAAGTCTGGGCTTCTAATAGCTTCGCTTGGCGTTCTGCATGTTCTTTTTCACACCGAGTGATTCCCATTATAATGTCAAGCATGGTAACTGTTGTGCCGAAGAACACAAGCGGTGATAAAGTTTCCTTTTTATCCCCACTGGAATTGCTAACAAAGCCCCTGCTACGGAGAAAACCCAAGTGCCCATTGCGTTGCAGATAGCCATGCACAGCATCATTCAACTACACTTTAAGCTAGCAAATAAATCAGAATAAACTTAAATGGGAAAGACTGTATCTACGATGCCAAAGAGAAGTACGGCTTGTGAACCCTAAGGTGAAATTTGTCATGCTCTAATGAAGTTGAGTGATGTATTGCTGGTTTAGCCAGATTTTTATGATAAACACATAATTTCTCTCTTTCGTGTAACGGCATGGGTCAATGAGACAATTAAAACAATTAAACTGAGTAGAAACCTCTGCAGGATTGCGAACCATAAAATTATGGAAGAAGACATCATAGAAACTGTGTATGGAGTCCAATGAGTTAATAACTAATACTGACGGGAGCAAAACATGCGTGAATCACTTGTACAAGTTTTAGTAGACAGGTCTAAACTCTCCATGATAACTAGAAGTCACTATAGTCAAATGTACAAGTATCCTGGTTTATAACAAAATCTTAAAGTTCAACACGAAATTGGTGATCTCCTAGCTCCACGGGGATTTGTTAATATCAATTTGTTTGATATTCCTTTTGATAGGTGAACTCCAATATGTATAAAATTATAATAATTAAAGTGTCCAAGATATGCACAGCTTAAGAGTATCTGAATAACGAAGAAAAACTTTTGGATCAAAATAATAGAACATCTATGGTGATGTGCAACAAGCAGAACCTTCCAATAAGATAAATCCATTGATGAAAGCTTCATAAAACGATTACTCACAAAATTTTCCAAAGAGAAGCTTACAATATGTTAAATATGCACTAGAAAACAAGTGGCACCTTCAAGGGCTGAAGAAATGGTTTTCCTTCTAGGTCTGGAGCTGAAGAAACGGTTAAATATTCGAATACAAAGCTCGAAAAAGATCAAGTATGATCAGAACAGGTAGATACCCCGTCACTGCCAATACAATACCAGTCATCATGGACATGATACATTCCTAATCCACTACTAAGATCTCCATAAAAGGGTGAATTTCTCACACATTTCACTCGAAGAACCACAAAAATTGAAAACATCCATAAGCTGCGAATGGATTCCCAATGTCAAATTCTTAATAAGTATATCCAAAAGACAAGCTGCAGTCAGTGACCCAGTGCCGTTCTACTAAATTTGATAATTATGAATGTTGGATTATAGTTAATCACCAAAAACCCTAAAGAAACTCAAAAATCCCATTGAAATGCGTAAACAAAACTGAAAGGAATGAACAAAAAGCAATTGAATTTGGAAAATTAAAAAAGTACCCATTGAAATGCAAGGCAAATGAAGCTCACCTGATCAGACCATCACCAGCGATACAGGTCCATCATCGATTGTTTATATGTTGGACGGCTACAAGGTGGAGTGACAAGGAAGGAGAAAGGAAATGGCAAAGGTGCGAAAGGGACGAGGAGCAAGCTGCAGTTGCTGCGGTTGATGCGCGAAGGTGCGAAGGAGAAGGGAGATGACGGGATTAGAGGGCGGCTTAGCAATCCTCTCAGAATCGGGGGTCCTCGCGAAGACCCGTTAGCAAGGGACTCAGTCGAGGCGAGTCCCTCCTAATCCCATTAAACTTAGTCCGGGTAGGAAACAAACACAAGATTGGACTAAAACTTAGTCCAGTCCAGTCCAGTGAAAGACAGTGAGTCCAAACAAACACACCCTTGGTGTCCATGCATATGGTTTTGTTATTTCCTTTCTATACAACATATTGTCAGCTAATAGGTGATTTAATTTTAGTGTTTACGTATATAGTTTCAAAAGTAATTTACCCCGCCCACATCCCTAACCAATGTCTTAAAACTGAGGCACCTTTCAATATTTTTTTTTTAACAAACGATAGTATGTACACTAAAGGGTTGGGAGAGTTGGTTAAGCTTTACAATTAGCCTGGTTCAACTTCGTCTTCAGCAAGAATTGAACAAAAAATCTCTCACTTACAAATACTAAGTGGCGAGGCACCTTTTATTTAAATCTCTATAGTTTTCTATTAGTTTTTGAGGTTCTATGCTCGTTTCTTATTGTCTTAACCTAGCTTATATTTAAAAAAAAAAATTCAACTAATAAGAGGGATCCAAGTAGGGAGAAAATCTTTTCAATCCCAAATTTTTTGTTTTTATCAAAATTGCATCCAATTTTCATAACTGCCAACTTACTTAACCAATCTTTGGAGTAGCAAAGACTCTATTATCTTTGAAATAATAAATTTTTTTATAGATATTTATGTAAAAACATCCGCATAAGCAGCATATACAATGATGCATTAATTCAGATCAGAAGCAATAAAAAGTGGCGCCCAGTCAAAAGTCTCCCTCTATTCATGCGCTAATCTTTATCACGCCATTTGTTTGTTGAGAGATTATATTCACACACCTCAAAATATTTTTTCCACATCTTTTTAATTTTTTAATATTTTCTACACACCACTAACACTTGATAGAAAAATATTAAAAAATTAAAAAGGTGTGGAAAAAGTAATTTAGGATGTGTGAATATAATCCCCTTGTTTGTTAAGTGATAACTTGATAAGCAAACAAAACAAGCAAGATACAGCTTTAATATCACTTGGTATTCACATAAAGTACGTATGTACCCTCATTGAAGCAAACGACCATAACATTTTCCCAGAAAAGTCGCTTATAAGGCACGTGGTTTCCGATCTCTTCCTCCCAAAATGGTGCTTCAATTGGGTTGTTAATGGGTACACCATCATCATTACTATCAATCTTACCATTATAATATGATCATATCAAATTAAAATAATCTTAACGGGTGCTTATGAACAACCCAATAAGTTAATTTGTCACTTTTGCTAAATTTCTAAGATTTGAAATTCTGAAATACTGAAAGAGATATACGTGGGAATTCTGAAATTTAGGACTGAAATTCATTTTTGAATTTCAAACTTTAAAGAAATTTATCTGATAAAACTTCAAAATCACGAGCAATGTAGTATAATTATATCTTTTTCTCCTACAAGAAAAGTTGTTATATTTTTTGTACCACACCGGGATATACATCCAGCCAATTGAGGGTTGTTTAATATCCTAGCATTATGTTGAAAACTAATTGGGCAAAAGACACACACAATAACTGAATAACATGACAATCTTTGGAGGATTCTAGTGTTAGGCCATTGCTGTTGCCGTTAAGAACATGTATACAACACAACTAAAATTTCCAATGAAAAAAAAAGTAATTCAAAATTAATCTCCTGTGCTTTGCGCTTGGAATTGCATACAATTTTATGAATTTGAATTAAACATACAAGAAAAAAAGGAAATCAAATATAATAAATATTGACTATGCGCCAAACGCACAAAACACTAGTACAAAAACACATTTGCGCGATGAAAACTTGCTCGACGGAGCAAATTACGTTCCGGAAGGACATTTTATGCAACATTGACAATTAAGCGTCACACAAGGACATTTTGCTCCATGAGACTCTGAGTGACGAAGCATTCCATCGCACAAAACGGTTTAGTGCAATAAAGTTGTACCTTCGTCACACAATGTTGGGAAAAAAGCAGTAAAACCCTTGGTTTGGCGCCAAAAAATTGCGTGACAGACCAACCGTGTCGTGCAAATGGCCTTGGCGCGACGTTTTCGTTCACCGTTGCACTAATACTGTTTGTGCGACACAAATGGTTCGTCGTGCAATTTTCTAGCGCCAAACCAAGGGTTTTACCACTTTTTTCCCTACATTGCGCAATGAAGGTGCACCTTCATTGCGCTAAACAATTTTGCGTGATACAATAGAGTCAACTTCAATTGACCTTGGTGATATGCTGCAATACAATGCACCGGAAGAGACAAACGAAGATAAGGAAGAATGGGAATCCGAAAATGATAGTAGTGAGGATAGCGATCGTGATTATTGTAGTTCGGATTAGGATTAATATAAACTTGTAAAATTGAATGGTATACATACTTATTAAGTAGCTTTTAATTTATTTATTTTGTACGTATAACACTTAAGAAATTGAATGGTATATATATTTATTAAGTAGCTTGAAATTTATTATTGTAGTTCGGATCGGGTTCTTGTTAGAAAAATATATTATTGTGCCAGAAAATTGCAGTAAAATCTTAGTTTGGCACTAGAAAATTGTGCGACGGAGTAACTGCGTTGTGCAAAGGGTTTTTGCGCAAAGGACAAGTGTCTCGCGCAAACACCCTTTGCGCGACGTTATAAATCTCTGTTGCGCAAAGAGCCTTTGTGCGACGTGGTTGTTCCGTCGCGCACTTTTTTGGAAAAAAAACGCAGTAATGTTTCGCGCCAAAAAGTATATGCAACACTGTCTAAACAATAGATTTAACAAACACTAGGAGTTTATTTATACTTTCATTAAGTATAACATAAGATTTATCCACTAGTGTAAATATTTTAAATTGAAGATCGAGTTTATTCATTGTATTCATATAGGGTCAAGGAGTGTAGTTGTAAAAAATCATCAAAATTGGAGTTAAAATAACCGTTAAATCGTGATTTTTCGTTATAGCCGTCGAAACGTTTTGTCCCATTACTTGATCTCTGAATGTTTGTTTTTTGTGATTTTTGGCATATTTGATCTCAAAGTATATCCAAACAAGTTTGATAGTTGGATCGTTGAAACTAAATTTGTAAAATGCGTATCACATCCAAACAATAGATTCAACAAACACTTAAACTTTCATTAAGTATAACATAAGATTTTGTAGTATCCACTAGTGTAAATATTTTAAATTGAAGATCAAGTTTATTCATTGTATTCATATAGGGTCAAGGAGTGTACTTGTAAAAAATCATCAAAATTGGAGTTAAAATAACCGTTAAATCGTGATTTTTTGTTTGTAACCGTTAAAAAGTTTTGTCCCGTTACTTAATCTTTGAATGTTTTTTTTGTTTTACGATTTTTGGCGTATGAGATCTTGAAGTATATACAAACGAATTTGATGGTTGGATCGTTGAAACTAGTTTCGTAGAATGCGTATCCTATCAAAACAATAGATTTAACAAACACTTAAGAGTTCATTTATACTTTCATTAAGTATAATATAAGATTTGTGGTATCCACTAGTGTAAATATTTTAAGTTGAAGATCGGGTCTATTCATTGTATTCATATAGGGTCAAGGAGTGTAACTGTAAAAAATCATCAAAATTGGAGTTAAAATAACCGTTAAATCGTGATTTTTCATTTATAACCATTGACATTTTTTGTCCCGTTACTTGATCTCTGAATGTTTTTTTTTTTACGATTTTTTTGCGTATGCGATCTTGAAGTATATAGAAACAAGTTTGATAGTTGGATCGTTGAAACTAGGTTCGTAGAATGCGTATCCTATCAAGTTGAATGATATATATATATATATATATATATTTATTAAATAGCTTTAAATTTATCATTGTAGTTCGGATCGGGTTTTGTTAGAAAAATATATTATTGTGAGTTTATGTAAAAAAAAAAAAAAATATTAAAGGGAGTACAAATTTTCAATAAATTTTATAATAATTTTTTTTTAAATATAACTTGTGCAATGCCACAATGGAATCGTTGCGCAAAAACCAATAACGCGAAGTCATAATGTATACATGCGCCGCGCAATTGTTAAAATCTTTACGGTGCAATTGAAAAAAATAGGCCATTTTTTTTAATTTTCCCAAATTACTCTTTTTAATTGGACGAAATATGGGTGCGATTGGAAAAGAGTCCAGATCCTACCCACCTATCTGCCACTCCGTCTCTCTCTTCCCTCTCGCTCATCTCGCTCTTCTCTCCCACTCCGTTAGACGAAGACAAAGACGAAGGAAGACAGCAACCACTACCCACCCATCTGCTCCTCGCCGTTTCCTCAATTCCGAAGGTCCCATCACATTTCTCTCTCTCTCTCTCAATGTTTTGCTTTTTGCTTTAATCGTTCAACATATGATAATTAGGGTTTTATTTGGTGAGTGTTGCAGGAATTTTTGTTAATTTAAGTGTAATTTAAATTTCTGTGCAAATATTAGATCTAAATATAATCAGTAAGCTAAAATCATTCGATTCTTTGTACTTGTACGCTGTCGAACATTGCAGCTTAGCGGGCAATCATGCCTTAGGTCGATATTTTTCAAATTCTGATGTACCTTGTGTAATTAGATTTCAATTAGAAAAACACTTGGGGTGGTTTTGGTAATTTGAGTGAGTTGGGATTTGGTAAAGTTGGCTGGGATTTGGTAATCTGAGTGAGTTGGGGTGGTTTTGGAGGGCTTCTGGGATGGTCCAGATTTCAATTTTAGTTTGTGTAATTAGATTTCAATTAGAAAAACACTTGGTACGTCAAAATCGGAATTCAGATTTCAATTGTATTGCTCAGTTTGCGATTTGTTTCCGAAATGCGAAAATGGACATGGTCATGGAGTTAAACCCCAATTCTTTTGAATGAGTTATATAAGCACTCAAAACCTAAGTTTCTAACTAGGTTTCACAGCTTTAGTTAATGCTCCCAATAAACCAAACTATTCAGCAGATGTGTTGTTAGGTGATTGCTCCCATAGTTATGCTCCATGAATAGTTGTATAAAATCACTTGATTAGGCATTTGATAAGACGAATAGACACATAGTTATATACAAACGGTAACACAAAATGTTGTATGTTTTACTAGTTATGGTTAAGCCCTGATTAAAGACTAAATATAGTAAAGCATGGAGCCCCAGCATGGACACTAGTTATCTCATGTTTTGGACCCTTGTTGCACATGTAGTCAAGCTTCAAATTAATGATTTTGTTGCTACTAAAATTTAGGGTTCTTGTTCTGCACCTGAAATGTCATGGTGATGTTATCTTCTCTGCAGATATTATGAATTTAGGGTTCAAATCATGTTTGGACCCTTGTTGATATTATGAATTTCTGGAAATAGGTTGCTGTAAAATTTATGGGGCTGCTAATTGATTAGTTTCAAATGCAAGAAAGGATATGATATTACTTTGGCTGCTAATTGATTAGTTTCAACTGCAAGAAAGGATTAGCTTTGAAACTGAGCTATGCATGCACCTGGTGAACTAGCTTTCATTTTCAGTTTCACCCTCTGTGATTTGAGCACGCAGAAGATGAAATATGGTCCTCCTCTTTTGGTCTAGTAAACAATATGGTTGTAGCTAAAACTAGTAATTTAATTGGTCATTTCCTTCTGAATGGTGGAAAGTGATTTCAGCATACTTCTTATTTTCTATTAGGATTGTTAATGGGTACTCATTTAGTTAAATAGAGGACCATTTAAGTATAGATATGTGTTATCTGTGGTGGTGAGTGGTGGCGTTTGTGCTTGTGACGATGATGATAGATTATGGAGTATCCATGGGCACCCATTGACCATCCCTACTTTCTATATATGTACTTTGTTTATTTGTCCATCTTTTGATAATTAAAAGAGAATCAGAAAACAAAAAACAACATGTATGTGCAAAAAAAAAGTGTGCGAAAAGCATTTCTTTACATGATCTCTCATGATCTCTGATGAATAATGTTTTTGGTAATTTTTTATGTTGCAGAACTTACAAAAAGAAAGAGTAAAGTTTAACTAGGCAATTGAATTAACTTCAAACATGATATGAGCTCTTTGGATGAAAAGGTGCTCAGCACCCTTATAGATTGTGGGAGGAAACATGTTTGTAGTCTTACTGACTGTACTGAAGATACACCCTTAATTGATGAGCATTACTTTTTTTTATTTTTTTTGAACATAGGATTACAGATTTAGTTTACTTAATTCTACATGTAAGGTGGCATTTTCTATTTACTTAGCTTGCAAATACTCATTAATGTTATAAAAATAAAAATTGTTATGCGCATGTTAAATTGTGTGTAGAAACTACTCCTTTTACCGCTGAATCAGGAAGGAAGAAGTGGTTGTAGCTTTGAAAAAGATGAAGCATAGAAAAGCAGTGGGCCCAGATGATATACCGATCGAAGTGTGGAAGGTTTTGGGAGAGATGGGTATAGCATGACTCACTGACATTTTCAATAGGATTTTGAAAACGAAAAAGATGCCAAATGAGTGGCGAAAGAGCATTTTGGTGCCTATCTACAAGCATAAGGGCGACGTACAAAATTGCATGAACTATAGGGGTATTAAGCTAATGAGTCATACAATGAAGCTCTGGGAGAGAGTCATTGAGCATAGATTAAAGCAAGAGACACGGGTTTCGGACAACCAATTCGGGTTCATGCCAGGGCGCTCAACCATGGAGGCTATCTATCTCTTACGAAGATTGATGGAAAGATATAGAGATGGGAAAAATGATTTACACATGGTCTTTATAGATTTGGAAAAAGTATATGATAGGGTCCCAAGAGACATTCTTTGGAGGATTTGAGAGAAGAAAGGAGTACGAATAGCATATATCCAGGCTATAAAGGATATGTATGATGGAGCAAAGACTACCGTAAGAACTCATGAAGGACAAACCAAAAGCTTCCCCATAATTGTAGGGTTACATCAAGGCTCATCCGTAAGTTCTTACCTTTTTGCATTGGTAATGGATGAGTTATCAGGACATATTCAAGATGATATTCCTTGGTATATGCTTTTCGTAAACGATTTAGTGTTGATAGATGAAACTCAGGAAGGGGTAAATGCGAAGCTTAACCTTTGGAGAGAAGTGTTGGAATCTAAAGGTCTTCGCCTAAGCCGATCAAAGACAGAATATATGGAGTGCAAGTTCAGTGCAAATGGAGGCCAAAATGAGTTAGGGGTGAGGATCGGAGATCAGGAAATACCAAAGAGCGACCGCTTTTGCAACCTAGGATCTATCTTGCAAAAGAACGGAGAATTAGATGGAGACCTCAACCATAGAATACAAGCTGGATGGATGTGGTGGAAGAGTGCATCCGGTGTATTTTGTGACAGCTGTATGCCACTGAAGTTCAAGGGAAAATTTTATAGGACGGCAATAAGGCCGGCGATGCTGTATGACACATAATGTTGGGCGGTGAAGCATCAACACGTACATAAAATGGGTGTAACGGAGATGAGGATGCTTCGTTGGATGGTTGGGCACACGAGAAAGGATAAGATTAGGAATGAGGATATCCGAGGTAAAGTAGGAGTAGCTGAAATTGAAGGAAAGATGAGAGAAAACCGGTTACGGTGGTTTGGACATGTGCAAAGAAGGCCTACTGACGCTTCGGTTCGAATATGTGACTACGGGACAAAGGTTCAGGGCCGAAGGGGTAGAGGAAGACCTAGGAAAACTTTGGAAGAGACCCTAAGAAAAGACTTAGAGTACTTGGATCTAACGGAGGACATGACACAGAACCGAGCGCAATGACGTTCTAGGATTCATATAGCCGACCCCACTTAGTAGGAAAAGGCTTTGTTGTTGTTGTTGTTGCATGTTAAATTGTAATTTATCTACAAAATAAATGACTCATGATTAGCGCTAAGAACATTTCTTTGATTTTTTATTTGATATGCATTTGCCCAAATTGCTCTTAATTTTTCGTTTATTTTGTTTTGTGCTAGCATTTAATTGTTTAAGCCTCGGGGAGACTTTTGTAGTTTCTTTGGGATTAGATTACAGTCGATTGAGTCACAGATTCACTTCATAATTCTAATATTGGTAATTCTACAGACACCCAAAAGTTCTCTCCAAACACCAACTATTGACTAGAAGTTGATAGCTTTGTTGATGTGTATGAGCAAGGCACTTAATTAATTGGCTCGATTATTGGTCCTTGCTCATTATTGAAACACGTGAATGCTACTGCATATGTGCTTTGAGCCATCTGCTCCGTATATTTTGAACAATGAGTACATCACGTATATAAATCAAATCCGGATCCTCTTTGTGAGCCATTTGCTCCAAAACTACTTTTGAATTAGTATTGTTTCTACCTTTGCAATACTGCTTTATATATATGTGAACAAATGCAAGAAAGGATATGATATTACTTTGGCTACTAGTTGATTAGTTTCAAATGCAAGAAATGATTAGTTTCAAATGCAAGAAATGATTAGTTTCTAAAGTTATATTTTTATGGTTCAAAAATTGTATAGATGTCACAGTTGATCACTTGTCGTCGGGGTGTGACCAATGCGCCTCCCGCATTTTCAGCACCTACTGCTTCAGCCATGAGTGCTCGATTGATTGGGGAGCCTACACCCCTTACTGAGGCTACTCCTAAGGTGTCCCAAGTGCCCGTATCATCGGCATCATTAGTGTCGGTTTAGCAGCTCAGTGCACGGCGGCCTCACCGGCGCCGTCGCCATCTGAAGCCTTCTGATCACACTTCTTGGGCATCCACAGTCAAGGGTAGAGGCTCCCAGCCAAGTACCTCACCACGTTGTATTTTTTTTTCATTTTAAAACTATTATTTGTATGATTGTGAAAATTTCATGCATTGTGAAAATGTGTTGTAGGTGTGAATTACTGTTATTTTACTGTTTTTAGGTTTTGCGAAATGATATACTATTAGGGGAGGTTTTGTTGAATTTTTTGTAGAAATTTAAGATTAGGGTTTTCACCATTTAAGTTACTTTGGGTAGCTAAAAAACACCAAGGGGCCTAATTGAATGCTGAAGCCGACACACAATGTATGTCTGTCCAACGAATTGATCAAGATTGCGTATGACTCACGACATCGTGGAGCGCCTACCTCACAGAAGCATATAGCAGCATTGTTACCAGCTATGGTTTTGTTATTCAATGGCATTGTCCTCTGCAGTGGGAGTCTTGGGCAGAAATTCCGGAGAGGACGAAGAAACCGGTGCGGGATGCGTTGTCGGTTAGTATATTAATTTTTAGCCTTTATAATTTTTTTTTAATTTTGTTTACAAATATTATAAAACAAAGTATATTATCTTAATATTATTAAATTTCTTACTTTTATTTTACTATTTTCATATTTGTAGGTCATTTATAATCTTGAGAACATATCCCCCGAGGTTGCATCCTACTTAGAGAACTTAGCAACTTGGTACAAACATTGGAAGTGTGACTCCACGCGCATTTTAAGAAATGGGATGATCCGGAGATTGCTCGCCTAGAGGGTTGCCCAATTGAGTTGTTGGAGCAGCTTAAGGATTGGGAGTGGCTCTGCAAACATTTTAAAAGACACAAAATTTGTGGTATGTACATAATATTTTAATAATAATTTATTACTGTTTTAGTTATTTTTTTAAGCTTTTTTTAATAATTTCTTTCAAATAGTCGCACTAACATGTATATTGTGTGTTTAGCAGAATAAATTTGTTGTTGCCAAGAAAGCTCGAGAGTCAGACACTTCTTCACCATTTTGGTTCGATGCCCTTCTCGTATAGGGTTGAGGCGCGACGTCAGGTAAAAGTATATTAATTTTTAAATTTTATATTATTTAAATTGTATTATTGATTTATAAAATTTTCTTAATGTTTTTTTTCTTCAGAAGGGTTCTAAGGTCCCAGAGCTCGACATGTTCAAGGACGTTTATGTTCGACCCAACGATGAGACCACTGAGCAGCTCCATGTAAGTATATGTAATCGTTATTATTCTTATATTTATAAATCGTTCAAATATTAATTACATTTTTTATTAAATATTAAATGTTTTTTCTTTATTATTACAGGCTGCAATGGTGGAGAAGGTCATTGTTGTTCTCCAAGAAGCAGCATCGCAGCTTCCCTTGGAGACCCTGATCGAGAACGTCACTGTACCCGAGGATGCAGGTTTTCAGATCCTCACTGAGATCCTGGATCAGAAGCTCGGTCATCGTCATGGTAAGGTTGTTTGGGGCATGGGGAAGGCGCAAGTTCGTGAGACGGGTGCCTCATTTTCTAGACCAATCACATGATAGGTCATCGCCCTAACGGAGGATGTGGAAACCTTAAAAGGTAAGATTGCGGTCCAGAAAGCAGCCTGGGATGCTCGGGAAGCCCAAATTGGAGCCCAGTTTTCGGCCCAAGACGAGAAGATGAGCATGATCTTACGCGCCTTACAGATGTCCGGCCTCCAAATCGCGATGCTAGCACCTGTTCGTACTCCACCTTTGAAGTGGCTGGGAGGTCAAAGGTGGAGCAAGATCAGGTGCTGGCATCGAGATTTGGAGGCCGGACATCTGTAAGGCTCGTAAGATCATGCTCATCTTCTCGTCCTGGGCTGAAAACTGGGCTTCCCAAGCATCTCAGGCTACTTCCTGGGCCGCAATCTTACATTTTAGGATTTCCACTTCCTTTGTTAGGGCAATGACCTATCATGTGGTCAGTCTAGAAGAGGACACACCTGTGTCACGAACTCGCGCCTTCCTTATACCCCGAACAACCTTGCCATGACGACAACCGAGCTTCTGATGGTACAATGCAAGTATTGTCGTCGTGCAAACCCTGCCCTCATGACCTTTGCACACGACAAAGTTTTTGTTGGGTTAATTTTCAGGTGATGTTTTTTGACTTTGTGCGACGAACTATGCTTCGTCGTGCAAATTGTTATTTGTACTAGTGAAACCCTTCATCTTTGCACCTATTGTTGCAGCCACCACAAAGCCTTCTATGGAAAGATGGGTTCACACATTTTCCTTTGCAGCATATCTCATTAATTGTACTTGCACTTCTTCCCACAGTTAGCTCGGTCAGTGAACACAATAACACACTTCTTGCAACAATGAGTCCCTTGGCTTCCCTTAGCACGACATATCTTGGGGAACTTGTTGCAAGTCAATCTCACCTTGCGTTTTTGCAAGATAAAGCGGTCGCTTCCATGTAACATATTTGAAGGTTGTGATTCAGTGAACACAATAACACACTTCTTGCAGCAATGAGTCCCTGGGCTTCCCCTAGCATGACATATCCTGGGGAACTTGTTACAAGTCAATCTCACCTGGCGTTTTTGCAAGAGAAAGTGGTCACTTCCACGTAACATACTTGAAGGTTGTGATTCAGTGAACACAATAACACACTTATTGCAACAATGAGTCCCTGGGCTTCCCTTAGCATGACATATCCTTTGGAACTTGTTAGAAGTCAATCTCACCAGGCGTTTTTGCAAGAGAAAGCGGTCGCTTCCACGTAACATATTTGAAGGTTGTGATTCAATTTCGTTTAACGGAGAATTCGAAAACTCATCAATGGTTGCATCTTCGTAGTATTGTTGGGATTGTACTTCATTGGATTCAATGCTTAGAATAGGAGACAAGAGGGGGATAGATATGAAGAAACAATGTATAATCAACTTCATGGTGAAAGAAATAATGTGAAGAGCTAGGCTTGCTAGAGAGAGGTTTAATGTTGGAAACTAGAGACCGAATAGAGGCTTAGATGGGAGGGAATGTTTGATTAAGGATGACAATGGAGGTGGGTTTATATAGTAAAGCTTACATGCAGATATTTTCCTCTCGAGTATCTTGATCTTAATGGAGTGGTCTACACAGCAATAAATAACTAAATTTGGAGCTAAAGTTAGGTCGTTATTCATCCGACTGTTAAACAATTGGAAGGAAAAACGCGGCGAAGAGAAGCTGACTTTCACAGATGGAAAAAATCAACTAAAATTATATAGCACAAGCGTATCCATTTTTGTATTAGAGACTCTGATTTCGAATCTCACATCTTTCACTAATTCTTTGTGTCAAAAAATTTATAGGAGCTCAAACATTACCCCTTTATTTGTTAGAAATAAAGCGAATTCAAACATAATATCTTACTTGTATACATATGAATAAATGAAACATTATCACATTTAGATTCAAAATATGCACTAAAAATTTTCTTTTAGTATTGGGATTCATATGACCTGTGAAACTCCTTATTAAGTTGAGATAAGACTTTTTCGTACAAACGAATTCTGGTCATAATTCTGAAAATATATAATAGCCACTACATGCTCTACTTCTACAATTGTAGACAATGTTCATTTTCCGTGCTCACACTTTGCATTTCTTTTCTGTATGTTCATGAAGATTTGTTTTATATTTGAGTAGCCGAACCGGAACCCCTTATGCCTAATACCCACCAACCCATCCAATGTAGGCCACTCTTAGGTTATGAAAAGTTGATTTAGTTTCATGGGAATAATGCCACATACTACATCCTTAACACAAACATACAATGAGAAAAGACCCGTAAATTTGCACAAGCTAACTGATGCATCGAATTCTCTCAAATTACAATATATATTTGCTTATTAAATCTTGAGTTTACGATCTAGAATTTAGTACTTTTGGTACACTAATGATAATATACACGTGCTATGAGTTGCGAAGAAACTACTATATCAATATGCAATGCGATATATGTCTTAAATAAACACAATAGTTGTCAAAGAGGGTTGATAGAGTTGGTAAGATCATTTTATTTGCTAGACCAAGGACTTAGGTTCGAGTTGCACAGCGCCTAGTGGACGATCTATAAAAACAAAAAAAAAATGCTAAGACTCCCTTTGTACGTACTAAAAATGACTTGTAGTATACTCTGTCCCTAGCCTCCTCTCCCCCTAAACTTTTTTCAACAAAAAAAAAAAAAACACAATAATTATATGATACAACATAAAACACTTAATTAAAAAGACAAATAATTAGAAACTTAATCAAAGAACAAAAGATGTCAACAAAAATATTTTAAAAATTCTGGGAAGAAAAGCTTTAGCTGCTTAGGGGAATCTTTGAGTGTTGTTGTAAAGCTAGGGCGGCGGAGATAATTTCTTTTCGTCCGTTTGGGTTAAAGAATATATGGGGCAAAACATGAACCACGAGCTTTCTGTTTCTTTTTTTTGGTCGGAAAATAAGAGCTCTTTTATTTGTATTTTGTTATGAATATGCATAACATTAACAACATATATGTTTGCATGGCAAAAGTGCGGACAGCCCCTTAGGCCATTTCCAACCGAGAACGAAAGGGCTAACTATAGCACTGTCCAAAATTATAGTCATGCAAAAAATTATTTTAAATAAACAGTTTCATGTCATACTCATATACAATCTTCAACCGAAATGGTTAAATATAACCTCCTCACTTAGGTTTTAGTTTATACCTTAAATTATTGGCTAATTCAATTAGTTACTATTGATCTTTTTCAAATCTAGCCGTTAAATTTGAATAAATTATTGCAATTGAGGAGCTAGCCCCAAAAAATGAGTTAAGAAGGGGGGCTACGTTTGGCTAGCCTGATGCTCCTTTGACCAAATAAGGGTCTAATAAGCTCCATAGAATTATAGCATAATCATCGGTTGAAGATGAATTTTGAGATAAATCGAATAATTTTTTAGCGCTTGGACTTTCAGTACTCTCCATTAGAGATGACCTTACATCTTGTGAGTCATACGGTACACCTGACGCTCCTTCTTGTAGTGGTTGGCCACTAGGGGATCACTTGTACTTTGCACAACATCTTCATTAACTTCTCCTTTTTTGGATCTTTAATTGGACAAGGATTGTCTGCCCTCCTAGTTGTGGTGCTCTTTCATGTCCTCCTATTTTGTACGGTCACAGTTAAACCACGTCAATATTTTATATTTTTATTGTTTTTTGTCTTATTATCTCATTAAAAAATTAATATAAAATATTGACGTGGCTTAACAGTGACCGCACAAAATAGGAGGGTATGGAAGAGCACTACAACTAGGAGGGCAGACAATCCTTGTCCTCTTTAATTTGCCTTCATCTAATGGGCAGCTATAAAGTACGACGGCATAATGGTTTCTAGCTTTAATTTCGGGATTTTCCACGGTACCCCAGCTCATAAATTCAAAACTTTTTTACGTCCATTGTGAACTTAATTTTGGAGTATGATCATCTTCTTTCTATTTACATCTCATTCCCTCCCTTTCTTTCACACTTTGCTTTTTATTTTATTGTCTTTATAAAAATATCAATATAATGTGGTTTAACCGTAACTATTCAAGTAGGAAGAAAAGAAAGAGGCGACAGATTAGGAGGGAGAGAATCCTCCTCCTATATTTTACCAGTTGGATGGCACACTATCTTGAGTCTTGACCGGTCTTTCTTTTAAGATGACAAGTCATGACTCATGAGTCATCTTCAACAATTAGCAACACTTTTCTTTTTGGTAAATTTATGTTGTTTATCATCGTGAATTTGACTGAAAGTGATGAAGAAGCTAATAATTTGGTGTTATTTTATTTTAGGGTATTTTTTTATGTGTTAGAATTTGTTAGTAGCATAAGAATTATGATTACTTGCTTTTTATGTTTTTGGGTTATTGTTTTCTTGTTTGTTTAGAAGTAGGTGTTTATAAATACACCTTGTAACTAATAACCAAATATAACTAAGTCACGGTGCCATTTGTATATTGGTTATCCATGTTGTAATAACTTGGTAGGAATGAGGTTTGTTAGATATGTAGTTCTTTCCGTTCATAGAATAATAACAATCAATATTTTTTTTTTAAATTTATTTATGACCCAACGGTATGAGAAAGAATTCTAATAAATTAGATAAAAGAAGTTAATTACACTAGTCAATAAATTTTTTTATTTATTTGTGGTCAGGGAGAGGCTGAAATGCCTATGTGAGTCTTCCCGACCCTCGGAAATGGTGGATAACCGTGACTTGCCACCAGTTGTCCCCTTTTTTGTAAAAAAAGAAGAAGTTATAGATATGTATATATAGTATCTCCAAGACCATATGTAATAGACAAACCCTTTTTATCCAAAGGGAATTCTAGTTTTTGGTAAAAATAGGGACTAGTTGTGGCCCTATGGGGCTCCCTCTACACCGAACCTCAATCATTCAAACCGTCTATTTTTCAAGTTACACTTTATAGATCATTTTTGCAAAATATTAGTCAAATTGGAAATGCTTTAAACATCTAACTGAGTTCAATGATCTATGAATAAAGACTTAAAAAATAGACAATTCGGATCGTTGAAGTTCGATGTATAACGGGCCCCACAACTAGTCCCCATTTTCCCCGTAAGCACAACTATACTTAGACTTATCATGGCCTTTATACGTACCCAGCTAGCTGGTTGAACAAGAACAAGATCAACAAACAAATTTAAATTGTTAAGTTTAAAATGAACAAAATTAACTTCACCCTCAAGAACTCGACCGTAGATGAGAACATTTGTTGAAGCATTAGACAAGCAACAAATTACATATTTTTGTTTTTTTGTTGATGAAAACATATATGACACAACTTTCTGACAGCTAAAATAGAAAAGTGGCTGGGTTGCTCATGAAGAAAGCAATTTCTTACATCGAAAGCACCTGGGATATGACCCTAACAAGCAGTAAAAAGAGAATAAAATTAAAAACTATTCTTGACTTCTTCTTTAATCTTACCCAAATTTTACAAATGAATTAAAAAAGAAGAGTGAAAAGCTTTCTCCTCATAAGTACACATCATATATCCTGAAATGTTAAATTTAGGAAACTAGTCAAACATGTTGGGCACTACCAACTCTGTAGTTCTGATCATATTAACGGTTTCCTCCTCACTTCTTTTCCCAATTTCTGAGCAATATTCCAATTGTAGCCGCATCAATCCCATGAACATTACAAACTGCAAGAAACTAGTCACTCTAGGAGCAGAATTCGGGTGGAACATTCACAGCAACACCGAAATTGACATCTTGTTCACCATTAGACCACCTGCCAAATGGATAGCATGGGGTGTGAACCCAGGTCCCCAAAGGGCAGAGATGGTCGGGACCAGGGCTGTTATAGGCATTTCACAGCCTAATGGAACGTTGGTAGTCAGAAAATACAACATCATCAGTGACACCAAGCTAGGTTGTAGGCTTAAGCCTTCACAAGATTTTGATGATGTTATTGTCAAGAACATGAAAGGTGAAGTGAAGCCTAGGAGGTACATGTCGATATTTGCAACGCTAATTTTGCCACCGGATCAAGCCGCGTACAATATTTTGAAGTTGAACCATGTATGGCAAGTAGGGTTTGAGGCTGATGATGCTCTTATGGAGCCTAAGATGCATTCCACTTCTCTCCAGAATGTGGATAGCACGGAGACTATAAACATGACCACAGGACGCGGTCTTAGCATTGGACATCGCCAGCATCACCTCAGAACGGTACGTAATTAAGATGCCAAACCATAACATGAAATTCACCTAAGATGAAATTCACATATGCAAGTGAGTCTCACCTCTGCGAGAAATTATACTAAATGTTGTATATATTTGTAGCCGAGTTACAATCTATTGGTTATGATTGACCATGGAATATATGATTATCAACTATTGAAACAAATTATTTAACGGTTGGTGTTATAGCTTAGGGCTTGTCTACTAACAATTTTTTTTTGTACTAAAGATAAAGATAAGATTTATGACATAAATAAGGAACGGAGATGAATGAAGGGAGGAGTAACCGAAGGATGTTAGATGATAACAAAAATTTGAAAGTGAAAATAATTTTTAGTTTTTATTGTGTATCATTTCATACACATTCCTTTCATATTTTTTGTGTGTAAATAATTAATATTCCTTTTTCTCCTTTTACTAATAGGTACATGGGATTCTTAATATTGTGGGGTGGGGAACAATGTTGATACCCTTTTCAATGTCCAAGGTGGTATGTAGTTCATGTCTCGTGCCAGATTGTTGGTTACACTCTTGGCACGGCTGGTTGGGAGATTGGACTCTGGCTCGGCCATGCTTCCAGACACTAAAGCTTCTCCACTCATCGAATTCTCGCCATTTGCATATTTGCCTTCACTACATTACAAGTATATAACATTCATCTCTCTCTCTCTCTTCCATTATGCCATGAATCTCACGAAATTGTTATTCGAGTCTTGACATATCACATCCGACATATCAAGGAAAAACATGCATAAAAATGTTCAGATAATATGATAGTGCACGCTAAGTAACATAACAATTACAATATGACATGTGTTCGAGGTTAGCAATGAAATTTCTTAGTTTCTTGACATATGCCATCTTTTGACTTTGTTCCACCATTAATCAACATTGTATAACACGACAAGAACATCTCTTTTACAAATATTTTTTTTCTAGTAGTCTGACATATTATGTTGGAAGTGTCAATGTAAATAGTGTTTAAGACTGTTCGGATCGCGGGACAATGTTGAGTGACATAACAGTTCACTTACAATATGACATGTCTTACAATTTAGAGATGAAATTTTTTAATTTCTGACACATGTCATCTTTTGACCTCGTTCCACCACTAATGAACATTGTAACACGACAAGAACATTTCCCTTGCAAATATTTGCTATTAGTCTGACATTAAGTCGCAAGTATCAAAGCAAATAATGTGTAAGATTGCTCGGATCACATGACAATACTGAGTGATAGAACAATTCAGTTAAGAGATGACAGGGTTAAAATTAAGCGATATAATTTCTTAATGCTCAATACATATTCCCTATTGATGTTTTTCCGTCGCTTATTAACTTTGACAAGAACATTTCTGTTACTAATATTTTCAACATACCCTAGAATTTAGTGTTGCTTTTATAGATGAGTGACATTGTTTCTGTGCATTGCAGATGCTTGCCCTGCGTTTAACGCCAACAAAAACTGATGATTACCGGAAATACTGGAACATGTACCATCATTTTCTAGGGTATTCACTGCTGGCTGTGATCTCAGTGAACATATTCCAAGGCATTGCGATTTTGAAGCCGAATAAAACCTGGTTGTGGGTTTACGTCGGAGTACTTGGAATGCTTGGTTTGGTTGCAATTGGTTTGGAGATTTTCACTTGGACTAAGTTCATATATGACTTATATCGCGGAAAGAAGAGCAGGCTCGAATTCCATGACGGGGCCAACCGCTCGAACTAGTACTCAACCTCAAGCATCGTCGGGCGCGGGACAACGCCCAGACACATTACCGGAAGCTGAAGATATTGATAAAATTTACAATTATAACAACTCAAAGCCTAGTATATCCAGCCAAGTCCAGAAACTCATGAATCTCACATGCCTTGTTAGCTAGTTATGTTTTTCCTCTTAATTCCATTTTCCACTTTAGGTTTGCTCTTTTCGGACTTTACAGATAAGGTGGCTTATTAATACATAATATACTTGATTGTTGAGCAAATATCTTATTTTATTTTAGGTTTTTAAGCATTTGACTTGATATGTTATAAGAAATTTCTATGTTAAGTCCATTTGTAATGGTTTTGTTGTTTTTGGATCTAAGTAATTCGTTTTAGGCTTTTAAGGCTATATCCTGTAAGCATTATGCAGAAAAGAGAACAGAGAGATTGTAGAGGAAGAAGAAGGAAACAGAGAAAACTTAGAGAGAGAGAGAGAATGATTTTTCACTTGTATTTTTTTTAGGGTAAATTGTTAAAATGGTCCCTGAGATTTGCATAACTCATCATTTTGGTCCCTGAGATTTGCATAACTCATCATTTTGGTCCCTGTGATTGTCCACCATTCATCATTTTAGTCATTCCGTTAAAAACTCCATTAAGTGTCCCAGAGCTTTTGGCCGGAAGTTTGGGCAATTTTCAAAGCTTCGTAACTCAATTCTTAACCAAATTCGACCCATAATATATCAAAATGAAGATAGGAAAGTGTAGAATAAGATTATACATATTTCGAAGACCAATGCTTGCTAGAGATTGCCGGAAAATAGCCTCAAAGTTGACTGGTCCGAGTGAAAACTTGAAAACTCGCTGGAAACTGGGTAAACTTTAAACGTTCATAACTTCTTCAATACTCAACGAAATCAAGTGATTCAAAAATAAAAATCATACTTCTCAATGATAAAAAGAGAATGATACCTTTTTTTGATGGCTAACTCGCCATGATTTGGCAGAAAAACGGCTCGAAAGTGGCTGTCTTGGTTTCGAGTTAGCCACTTTCAAGCCGTTTTCTGGCAATCTCTTTGTCTCATCGAGATGTATGATTTTCATTTTTGAATCACTTGATTTCGTTGAGTATTTAAGAAGTTATGAATGTTTAAAGTTTACCCAGTTTCTGGCAAGTTTTCAAGTTTTCACTCGGACGAGTCAACTTTGAGGCTATTTTCTGGCAATCTCTGGCAACCATTGTGCTTTCAAATAGGTATAATCTTATTCTACACTTTCTTATCTTCATTTAGATATATTATGGGTCGAATTTGGTTAAGAAACGATTGAGTTACGAAGCTTTGAAAATTGCCCAAACTTCCGGCCAAGCTCCGGGACACTTAACAGAGTTTTTAACGGAATGACCAAAATGATGGATGGTGGACAATCTCAGGGACCACTTTTATCGATTTGGAATCTCAGGGACTAAAGTGATGAGTTATGCAAATCTCAGGGACCATTTTGGCGATTTACCCTTTTCTTTATTAATTTTCTGGTTACAAAGATACAATTGCTACATAGGTGGATATTCACCTAACTGCCTTATCCGTATCTTACACTAGCAACAATTCTAACTAAATTTTACAACAGCAACAATCCTAATTGCCTTATCTATTTGGCTAATGACATGTGTCATGATCCACACCTTCCATATCCTATATACTCTAACATCCCCCCGCAAACTCATGGTGGTCTAAGCATGAGATTGTTGCAGTGAGTAATAATGGTGAACTTAGGCCTTTGGTAAGAATGTCTGCAAATTGCTCAGATGAAGATACAAATTGAACCAAAAGATTCTTGTTTGCAACTCGTTCTCTCACAAAGTGAACATCTACTTCAATATGTTTTGTGTGCTGATGTTGAACTGATTTAAGGGACAATGCGATTGCAGATAGATTGTCATAAAAAAGGACTAGTGGGTGAGAAATTTGAACTTGTAGAACCTGAAATAGTTATTGCAACCAATCCAATTCAATAGCAGTGGATGACAGAGCTCGATATTTAGCTTTAGTTGATGATCTCGAGACTGTTTGTTGTTTCTTTAAAGCCCAAGACACAGGATTGTTACAGAGAAACACAACCAAACCTGTTGTAGATCGCCTATCATTAGAATCCCTAGCCTACTCAGCATCACTAAAAGACCGGAGTGATAAATTGCCTCTTGTATATCGAATTCCATGTGTCATATCACAGCCAAAAAATGAGAAGCCATTGGAGACTGCATAAATTGACAGACTTGGTAAACTGAAAAGGCTATGTCAGGCATTGTGAAGACCAAGTATTGTAAAGCTCTAACAATGCTCATCTAAAGACTAGGATTAAAGGGTTCCCCATCATCCTTCAATAACCTGTTATAAGGTAAGCAAGGAGTTGCACATAGTTTAGAATCAGACATTTCAGTTTTTTGCAATAAATCTTTCACATACTTCTTTTGAGATAGAAACAACCTTTCGTCTGTTCTTGTAATTTGGATCCCAAGAAAGTAATGGAGAAACCCCAGATCTTTGAGATCAAATTCTTTTGTTGTCTGTAATAACATGTGCAATCATCTCAATAACATTCCTAGTTATTATGATGTCGTCTACGTAGAGCAACAAAATCACAAGTGAATAACCAGAACTCTTGACAATGAGTGATGAATCAACATATGTATTGTGAAACCCCAATTTAGGTAGAAAACTTGTGAACCTGTCATTCCAAGCCTTTGGGGCTTGCTTGAGTCCATAGAGGGAGTTATGTAATTTACGGACTTTAAAAGGGTGGTTATGATCTTCAAATTTAGAAGGTTGGGACTTATAGACTTCTTCTTGAAGAATGCCATGAAGAAAGACATTTTTGACATCTAATTGATGTAGAGGCCAATCATGATGAGCTGCCAAAGCTAATACTAACCTGACAATTGTTGGTTTAACAACGGGGTTGGAATTTTCCCCATAATCGAGGCCATGCTCCTAATTAAATCCTTTTGCAACAAAGTCTCGCTTTGTACCTCACAACTGTACCATCAGAATTCCTCTTAATTTTATACACCCACTTGTAGCCTACAAGATTCTTATTGTGAGGAAGATCCACTAGACTCCAGACTTCTTGAGAATGTAAGGCTGCAATCTCTTTATTAATAGCATCATGCCACACTGGTGCTTTCAAGGCTAATTTATAGGTTGCAGGCTTTGTGGTAGTAAGATCCACACCTCCAGAATCACAAACTGATGCATATAAAGCTTTATGTTTCACAATACCACTTTTAGATTGAGTCTGCATCAGGTGGAGATTTATAGGTGGAATCTTAAGAACAAGTTGGAGAGCGTCAAGATAGAATTCAAGTGCCACAAGAGTTGATGAATAGGGAGACAAAACAGCATTAATGGACTGTGGTATGGTTGGGATATCAATATCATAGGAGCTAGAAGGCTGTAATAAATTTGTGGACTCATTGGATCTTTGAATTGACTCTGTATGAATGTGAGGGGATTGACTATGTGGTGAAGGTGTCTGTGCATGCATTTAAGGTGTTTAGGATCCAGTAGATGGAGTATCTCTAGATGTAGATGAAGTTTGCACTCTAGAATTTGAAATTGGTGAAACAAGAACATTTAGAAGGTTTGAGGTTAGTAGTGGTGCAATGTCAACTTGAGTTCATTGAATATTACATGTCTAGAAATGTAGGTCGTTTTGGTTTCCAAATGATAACAAATGTATCCTTTATAGTGAAGAGCATATCCCAAAAATAAGCATCGAGAGATTTTAAGTTGTAATTTGGAGGTATTATATGGTTTAAGGAGAGGATAGCAAGAACACCCGAATACCCTTAAATGAGAAAGTTCAGGGATAACATCATATAGTAATTCAAAGGGTGATTTGTTATGAATTAGTTGGCATTCTATTGATTTAGTGGGTTATTGTATGACAAGCATAAGTCCAAAACAATGGGGGAAAATGAGCAGTCTGCAACAATGTAAGGGCAGTTTCTACAATATGCCTATGTTTACACTCAGCCAACCCATTTTGTTCAGGGGTATATGGATATGAAATTTGATGGAAAACACCCTGTTCAATGAGAAATGTTTGGAAATTTTTGCTTATAAACTCTCATCCTTCATCACTTTGCAGAATTTTCATTTTGATTGTAAACTGAGTGCAAACATAATGATAGAAAGAGACAAATGTAGGGAAAATGTCTAATTTATTGATTAAGGAAAAGATCCAACTGAATCTGGTACATTCATATGTGAACAGAACATAGTATTTATATCCATCTAAAGATTGACAAGGTGCTGGACCCTTCAAAAGGAACCACAAACCTAGTTTGAACAAACTGAAAGGGTAGCTTACTAAATTTTCCTTCTAAACAACTTTGACACATCGTAGAAGATGTATCATGTACAGTGACCATGTTAGACTTTTTAAGCATTGTAGAAGAAACCGAGTTAGAAGGATGACCTAGTCGGTTGTGCCAAATAGTTGAATTGACTAGTTTTCCTAAGCAGACCATGATTTTTGAAGTTGATGCAAACTGCTATGGTATAAGGGATGATATATGATAAAGTCCATTATTGCATACTCCTTGGAATAGAATTCTCCCTGTGGCCTTGTCCTGGATCCAAAAAGAAAAAGCATCGAATATTAACCAACAATTGTTGTCTAAACATAATCTATGCACAAATAAAAGATCATGAGACAATCTAGGCACATAAAGAACTGAGTTCAGTTTCAAAGAATGATGTGAGGTCCTCAAGAAAAAGATGCCTATGTGAGACACTTGTAAACCTTCCCCATTTGTAGTCTGGACAGTTTCAGTAACTAGGTATGGTGATGTCAAGCTCAAATTCCTCATATCAGTAGTCATGTGGTTTGTGGCCCTAGAATCCATAAGCCAAACTTCAGGTGAATATTGTGTCGTGGTAGACAAAGGTAGAGAATTAGATGGCACTGATCGTGAGTATATGGTATACATGGCTGCCATGTGTGGAACTTGGTTGGGAG